GAGCCAAACTCCCGCCCACGGGTCCTCAAAGACTGGCCTCCGTGGGACAAACATCTCTGAATCACAGAAAACCCGGGTGACTGCCTCCACGGTGGCCAGTTTCAGGCTGACGGTGTCTTGGCTGCAGTCCTTGTTTTATGAGCCGCAGATTCCCCCAGCCGTCACCACAGGACTGGGGAGGGGCCCAGTAGGTCGGGTCCCGCTAGGTAACATGCGATTCTGCTAACGAGAAGAATCTGAGAAAGCCCCGACAACCACTTCCTAAACTCACACTTAATTCTTAAATATGGACAGTTTAACTTTTAAAACAGAAGGCCAAGAGAACACCACACTGGGAGGAGGGCCCTTACTTAAACGACACTATCGAAGGCTACAAGGGCAGTGGTGACGTCTAGATGTTACTGGGGGATACAAGTAAACTATTTTCGGTTCCATTTTCTGCGTTAGGGAATCACTGGAGAAAATAACTCTTTCACTCACATAATACGATACAGCAGGAGCCCCACAATGCAAATATTCAGAACCCCCAGCTCTGTTCTCTTAGAAAGCTTTTGAGAGAGGTTCCTAAACTCCTTTCTAGGGCTCTAGGTTAACAGAGGACTTCTTCCCGGGCACCCACGTTAGGACAGTCTGCACGTGCACGCACGTCTCCCCGTCGTCTGAAGAGAGGCATCAGCACCCACGACGGGCAAGAGGGAAAGCAGCGGGTGCCCAGGTGAAAATACGCTGCAGAAAGGGCTCCTCTGTAGTTCTGCACATTTGAGGATTAAAACAAAGAGTAGGAACTTGCCTTGGTGCCCAGAGAGCCACCCCGCATGCCGGGCCTTCCCACGGCGGCACGCGCCCAACCACAATGGGCAGGTTAGGAAGCCCACTGCAGCGCTCTGTTGTGATGTGTTCAATTAACCAGAATGTTAAGTCCTTTCCTCTCCTAACACCTGATTTTTACTTTTACCCAAATTTCTCACCAAGAACTCAGAAATGAGATGCCCAGTTGGCTTCACTAAGACATCAACCACCACACAGACTGACGAGAAACAAAAACCACAGGACAGAACCCTTTCCTTAGCGTCTGTTCAAGTGATGTGATGGGGGAGGAAACAGACTGACTAAAATTAAGAATTTAAAGTCTCTCAGTATGC